ATTTGTTATTCATAGAATTTCTTGCTAATTCGTTATCTCTCCCGTCGTGGCGGACCTGCAAGCGCAGGGCATCACACCCTTCCGAGTGGCACGGATGCGCCATGAGGACGTTGTCAACCGCGAGTGGAAGGAACCTTCCGTTACTATTAGTGCTGGTGCATATCCCCAAAACGGAGTGACAAAAGCTTTTAGAGATGAAGACTATTTCCCATTTTCAGATCAAAATAGAAGAACTTCGACAAAACAGTTACGTTGACTACTGCCACCGCTGCCAAACCTTTGGCCACGCCGCAAGCTTTTGCGCTGCGGCACCTCGATGCTTTAAACGTGGGGAGGGTCACATAACCTCAGAGTCCACCAAATCACAAGACTCGCCCGCTAGATGTGTGAATTGTGGCGAGGCACTTACCGCTAATTATCAAGGCTGCAAATAGTATCCGCGTAAGGAAGCCAGCCAAATCGCAAAGTTTACTTCATCAGCACCAACAATAAACAATACTGTTACCAGGTGGTCTCTTCGGGTTTCGTTTGTGTTCAAAACCTCATGAAGATTTGCCAAATATCCCGTTAGGTTCTAAAGCCCCTGGCCATTCTTCTACTGCGAAAGCTGAACAGTCGCAGCCGACAATACGGAAGATGTTAGCAATTTTAACGACTAATTTATCCAGCATGCCTGAAACTATGAAAGGGCTGGTATCTTTTTACAACGGTTTCTAAGCCAAAGGCGCACCGCCACATTCGACTCCTATTCTGAGATGCATAAAGTGTTCAGAGTAAGATGCACGAGCTTTAGGAGCTCTTACAAAGAGAAAGAATTGGGGTGTGCGCCATCAATGAGACGCACCTCCTTCCTAAAGTCGTATTTTATTTGTGCAACTTTGTTATGTATCTCCAAGACAGAATTGAGGCAAGTAGCGGGGGCGTGACTTTCTTGGTGAAACGTATTTGACATGCTTCCATCTTTATGCCTTCTCTACAAAGTATCGAAGCAAAGATAATCTCCTTATGTATGGCGACCAGGAGCCCCTGTTTGTAGTCGCTGTCTACAAATCCCCTTCAACCTACTTCCGCCCTCCCACTTGGATGCCATTTATGGGAGTGTCTCTTCCGCTGTTTTGTGCGGGGAGCTTAATTGCAAGCACCCTACATGGAGCAGGCGAGCCGATAACTCGAATGGCCACATACTTGAGGCCTATGCTGATGAGCATGGGCTGCGCGTGCTAAACCCTCAGCAACCAACATACTTGGCGGCTACAGGCACAATAGACTTAGTGGATATTGCCATACTTAAAGATATACCTCTCTCTACGCAGTTATAGCGCTCCATGAGCTATCCTACGATCACCTCCTAGTTATTCTCGATTTAGGGGGTAGGAAGGACACACCAAAGGCCATTACCCGTATTTTTACCAGTTGGGACAAATATGCTGACGTATTAAAAACCACGCTGCCGCCGTGTCCGCCATTACCGTCCTCGCACGCCCTGCTAGATGATGCTGTAGCCTTTTTCTAAACCGAACTGAACAATGCTCACACTACTACCACGACAACTCATGCGGTAATATGTCGCTCGGATTATTTGACTGACGAAATAAAGGCACTGATCTGCCATCTTCGACGTCTTATTCGAGTAGCCATGTTTGCCGCAGAGTTCCAAAGACCAACTTGTGCTTAATCGACTTCACAGGTGCATTGGAAAAAAGCTAATAGCCCCATTCTAACTATAACTGGGAGAGCAAACTGTATCGTACATCAGAATCAGGTAGCAGTAGTGTCCTCCTTTTAGAATTTTATTAAAAGGATCAAAAATCGGGGGCTTGGACCACTACTGCCCCTTCGTGAAGGAAATATAGTGGCCCAGAGTGATGGAGATAAAGCTACGTTTTTCGCTAATGCTCTTGTTATCCAAAAAGTGCCAGCTGCTCACTATACTGCTAGTTATGATGCGTTCCCTCAGCTGAGCTTACCCCTTCCCGTTAACTGCGAACCACCTAATCTAGTTAATGTTGACGAGGTGCAAGCACTTCTCAAAGCGCTACCTAAACGAAAAGCGCTTGGCCCCCATGGCATCACCAATGAGCTGCTTAAAAGAATGCCATTAACAGGGGTTATTGTGTATACCTCCCAGTAAAATCTTCGATGCTCCTTAGCGCCTTTCCGATCCAATGAAAAGCGGCGATCGTTGTGATGCTCCAAAAGACACTTAAACCGGAATCAGCGCCTTTCAAGTACCGAACCACTAGTCTCCCGTGAGCGGTCGGCAAAGTGGGTGAGACTGTTGTACTGCGCCGTCTTAAAAGAGGTCGTTGACTCTCGGAAAGCTCTACCGGAGTTTCAGTTTGGTTTTCGACAAGAGCACTCAACGACCTAGCAGCTTCGCTTAACTGAATGAACCACTAGCGCTTTTTTAACTATAAGAAGGCGAGGGGCACTGTCCCCTTCCTTGACGTTGGAAAGGTACTTAATCAAGGTTGGCATGAAGGTCAGCTGCACAAACTGCGCTCGTTATCCGACCCTCATGGCCTTTAATGCGTGCTGAAATCATATCTGAATGGTTGCGTCTTCAGTGGGCGCGCGGGAGACACCTGGTCACCGCTTCGGTCTCTGGCAGCCCTCAGGAATCATTTTTCTCGCCCCTTTTATTTGTATTTTACATGAGCGACGTGCCCTTGCCATGCGACACACACAAACGAATTACCCTCTACGCTGATGATAAGACCGTATATCCCTCTTCGAAGTCTTCCGCCTTTCTACCAAGCATCTGCAGGGCAATTCTTGACGCCCTTGCCGTCTGATATTGTGATTAGAAGGTTATTATTAATTCGATGAAGAGCAAAAAAAAGCTGTATTAATTCTAAGAAGCGCATCCTTTTAATAGCGTGAACATTCCATGGTGTTCTCAAGCGAAATACTTGGGAGTCATCATCGACAACCATTTTTCTTGGCGGTCTCATGTGGACTACGGCAGCAACTAAGGCACTTTATCCTCTACTTTGCGGCAAGAGTAAGCTTTCTCTGCGAAACAAACGGCAATTGTATTTATCTTACATCCAGCCAATAATGACCTATGCGTCTGCTGCTTGGATTTACGACTCTACTGCGCGTGGTGCTTCAAGTGCAACAGAACAATTTACTGCGTGTTCTGATAAAGGTGCGCTGTCGTTTGTGCGAAATGATTGCTCTTCACCGGGACCTTCAGCTGGACCCTTTAAACATTGTCTTCTAACACCATGCCGTGGTTCTTTACTACAAGCTCACCAGGCACACTAATCAAAGCCCACGTGACGCGCTTTAGCGCTAGTTTTTTTTTTTGTTAATGTTAAAAAATAATGACGCCCTGAATGCTATTTGTAATATATCTGCAATCACTCCTGATTGAGAGCTTGAGTATTCGAAGTTTTTAACTCGATCGAGCAACATAAACTGTCATTAAAAAATTATTTAATGAACAATAAATAAAAGGGTTCTTCTCTTTTAGCTCTGGCTTTTTTGCCTGTAGTTGTTCGCTAAGTATTTTACTCTTGCTTATCTATGACCTAGCAATTCAAAGAAGAATTGCATTGGTTCGGTTTAAAGAAAAACCTTGTAGAGAGACTTTAGTTTAAACTTCATAAATAGCAACATTATCAATCGATATAAGACAGGCGGTTGAGGGGTAGATGGCAAACTGAGAAGCTAGATGACCAGCAAAGTAGTTCTGCTTAGTCTCCATCGCTTTTGGCTACGGAATCGCCGTTGCGAAGTGGTGGCCAAGCCGAATGATCACGATTTTTAACGGGTTTGACAAAGTTCCAGAAGGAGGCGCGACTAATGTCACCAGCTCCCGCTACTTCGTTTAAATTGTTATCCCATTAGCAGTTATATGCGCTATCAGCTTTTTTCTGATGTTCCGGTGAAGGCGATCAAGAAGGTATAGGTTTCAATTACAAAGATAAATTTCTGAACTCACCATAAAATATTTAAGGGTTATATAGATACCATGTGAATAAGGCGGTCTTACCAATTTTAGAATATATAATCAACTGTTTGCCAATAAATTAACTAATTTTATTAAAACTATAACGTCATAAAACACTATTTCTAAATTTATTATCTTATTCAATTCTATAAAGATTTTTTTTATTAAAAAAATTACTATATCTAACAAAATTTATCGATTATATAATTTTCAAAAATTACAAATTTGTCAAACTTAGAACATACTGCTGGAGTTTTAGATCCCATTATCGACATAGATCAAGAAATCTATTAAAAAATCTTAAAAAAGTTTTTTAGAAAATATTGTATAAACTTTTTAATGGTTTCGCAGAAAAAAGGATGAAAGGAAACTGTGCCTTAACTTTATAATAATAAATAAAAGGATTCAGGAAATTAAAAATCAGCAGTAGTTCAGCTAAATTTCTGCGCTAAAGAACCGTACTTTAAACATTATTGCGTTACTAAAGATAAGTGTTGCTTCAAACCCTATTAATTAACAATTTTTTTGCATGATGGGAAGATGTCAGCGTTGCCGAACTCACTTTTTTTTCACTTTATCCTCTTCAGTTTATTATTAAAGATTTTTTTTTTTGTACTCCCTTTCGGCGTATTATTAAAATGTTATAAACTCAACAAAAAACATTAAAAAATATTGCGTGACTTTCTCCGTTAAGAAATAAATAAGAATTACAAATTATACTTGGCGGGTGTATAAGGGTCTTAGTAGTAAGTTAGTTAAAATAGCTACGTTGTTTACTTAACCAAATGGTAAGGTAGTGCCGAGGTTTTCGTAATACATACAAAATTCTGCTGAGCCTTTTCAACATTCCAAAGGTTGAAGGCAACAAGGCTCAAATTTAAATAATTTGTCTGCTGCAGTTAACTTAAATTGCTACCCCATTTTTTAAAAAGGCTAAAGGGGGCCAATCAATATGCTGCATTTTTTGCACTGGAGCTTTCCTTGGTGTCTCTCTTTGCTGTTGATTAACGGCCACATTACTTCTAAAAGTATGCATATTAACTTTTAATATCTGTTGGTTTGATGAATTCAATGTATAAATTTAAATATATTGGAGAAAATGGTTCTGGAACATAGAGGAACCTTTGTCTTTGTACGGAAAAAAACAATAAATCAACCCCAAGGACATAGCACTAAAGTGTTTTATATTTACTTTTTTTGAGTTTAACACTTACATAAAATACAATTAATTTAATTATATATAAATGTTATTATTTATTTGCAAAGATAAAAAGCTCGAGTCAACAACCTTCCGCAGAACATACAAACAGTGATAACAGTGACGAAAAACACGAGACTGTAGAAATTAATTCTCCTCACTTTGTGAAAGTCAACGTTTCTTGTTCTTTTAATCAAATCTCTCAGCCTTTAAAAAAAAATGAAGTTATAAAAGAGGTTAAGAGTGATTCTGATCTAACTATAAGAAGGGATAATCTTACGCTTATGAATACTGATACAAATAAAACTAAACGTTTTAGTTTTGTAAAAGGAAGGTTAAGAAGGTCGCTTTCCAGGCCTCATTATGCGGGTTAGCTGATTTTGTAACAAGTATATATATGCCTTTTCTTCATATATATATATATTAACTGCTTAGTTATTAGTGTCATATTACTTTGAATATCTTTCAGAGTTTTATACTGAACTTCCTGACTCTTTAAGCCCTGAAGAACGCTTACGTTTGCTTTTACACAAATGTTTTCGGTATGGGAGAGGCAGGCTAGACCGTTGGGAAGCCGGAGACGACATTGTACTGCACTTTAAAGAAATTGGTTTTTTTTATAACCTTTTTTTTAATTTTTATAAGATTTTCTCTGTTAGCTGCTGATTTTTGTCAAAGTTTTTGTGAAAGTAGTGCTTTTAAATTCCCGCCGTCTAACATTTTGCTAAAATCTAATCCTATCAATCTTGAAAATTTTCGGTTGTTACGTCATTATTTACGAGCTAAAGAAAGGTCTTAATTTGATCTATAGTATGACCTTAAGAAATTTTTGAAACTTCTCTTAAGTACTTGTAAGAAAAGTATATCTTTTTTAAATTGAGTTGGCGCTTTAACTTAGGCACTAAAGAAATCGTACTAAAATTTTTCTGCCTACTTAAAAGAGTATTTGATAAATAATATAGATTGGAAAAAGAAAAGAGGGTGTGGGACACGATTTTTACTCAACCTGAAGTATATTATAAAGGGTTAGATCCTCTCAAACCAAATGCCGATTCTCCTCAATTTTTGAAAGAAGAGGAAACTAAATTACTAAAGAAAACAATGGAAACGGACGAGCAGGAAGTTGACAAAAGCTGTCAGCTTCTTGAATTGAAAGTAGTAGAATATATATCTTTTTAAAAATAATAATAATCTATAAATCCTAGAAGAGAATGAATTAAATACCACTTTTATTTTCTGTATATAACATCTTTACTTTCCATTACTCTAAATCTTATCTACTTAATAAAATTTCGTGTTTAGACAGAGTATTTACACAGACAAACGGCAGGAATAGACCGCTTATGCCAAATTTCGAGTGACTGTTATTGCATTTTTCATAATGAAGTATTTGAGCCAATAGATACTTACTTTATCTCTGCTTAAACTTTTATCCATTCATAGATCTTAGGAAATTCAACACGTGAACAAGTAAGCAAGCTTTCTACGAAAGAAAAACCCGAACCGACGCCGAGAAGGATAATGAAACAACTAACTCAATTATAGCAATTCAATCTTTTACGAGCTGCGGTTCACTGAAGCTAAATATAGGATTCCAGCTTTTAAATTAAGTATTAGTTTTAAAAGTTAAGATGCTCTTATGTAATATCAAAAAAAGCAAAGTACACTGCACTTCAACTTAAAAAAAAGCTTTACAGAGTGTTCCTATTCTGAATATCATTTGTTATATAAATTCTTTAACGTTTAATTCCAAAACACAAATTATTGTAAATATGGCATACTTGTAAGAATTTATTAAACTTTGAACCGACGGCCATTATTCACAAATAATTAAATTACTGTGGTGTACAAGGCTCTAAAGAAGTCTAACTCATATACACTAATCCCTTATACTAGTACTCGTTATAGAAATTTAAGCTCCTGCACAATAAAACTTCTCAGGTTCATGCCGTCAGCCTTCTCTAACATAACTTTTTTCTTTCAATAACTTCTTTTAAGCTTATTATCATTATTACTTGGAACTGAAAAATCAAGCCGTAAGTAACGCCCCTTAAAAAAAGCGCCATCCAACTCATCTACAATTTTAATTGCGGTTGGTACGTCAGCGCATTCTATATAAGCAATTCCTTTGGATCTTTGTTTTTCGTGGTCCCAGGGAAGGCGTACTTCCAGAAGGGTGTAGCCTTTACTAAGAAAAAAATTATTTATAACGTCCGAATCGACAGAATAAGGTAAGTTTCCAACAAAAATAATGCTCGCAGGTTCGCTTCTCGGTCGTTGATTACCAATTTTAAAGTTTTTTTTTATTACCATTAGCAAGTGCAATCTTAAGCCAACGGCCGTCTAAAATTTCTTCGTTAAGTTCTGCAGCCTTCTCTGCGGATGTTCGAACGTCAAAAGAAGCAAATGCCATTCTATAAATTAATGTTAGCAATGTGAACTTTGCAAAAACTAGTTATAAGTTATTAAAGTAGTCAAAATATTTTTTTTAATTTCAGTTGGTATCTAAAAAGATGAAAAGGCAACAAGCACATAAAAAAGTTACCCATTTTTCTTTCCGTTATGCGTGTTTCTTAAAATTCGAACGTCAACTGGTTTTACACCATTGTTAATAAAAAAGGTTTCTAAATCCCCTTCTTCAGTATCATAAGAAAGACCGCCGATAAAAACTTCAAAAAACTCTGTTTGACGATTGTTTCCTGAAACAGAATTTTTTTTAATATTGCTATGTCCTTTACCCTTACACCCTTCTAAAGCTCGAAGTTCCTTAGATGTTAACTCTGAACTTTTTAATAAATTCAGCTGATTACTATTTTTAGTCTTAGTTCCCTGTATTTCTCCTAAATTCCTTTTTAACTCATCTTTAAAGCTTTCTCGCTGCTTGCTTCGCGTAGTTATTAGCCGTTTATAACTCTTATTCAACTTGCTGGAGATGCCTTTATTAATATTTTTCTTTTTAGTCTTTGGCATTCTTAAGTTAACAAACGAAACCCAACTCTGATTAGTAAAATTTAAAAATTTAATTGCACTTTTATGGTAAAGGTGAGTTTGAATGAGCGGTGACACGCACTAGGCCTCCTGTATACTATCCGCGGAGTTACAATTTTAATTATTTAATTAAGAATTAACAACAATTTCAATTATTTAGGCGTTGTATTTTATTTCTTTGTAATAAAAAATTTTTAAAGAGCAAACATTTGCTTAAAATGTGAACAATTAATTTGCAGGAATACAAACTTTAGTTTGTTCTCCTACCGGCACGTGACTTTCGCTTACGCTACCAAACATTTGAATTCTATTTGCTCCGTTCGCATTAGCTTTCTCATTGCTATTGTCTGGTTAGTCATTGACGTATATTAGTGTAATATAAAAAAATTAAGATAATAATTTTAATAAAATAAATTTTAATACTTCTATCATGACATCTTTAAGTTCCCAGTTAAAACGCCTGTCCTTTGCCACTGGAAATTTATCAAAAAAATCTAAGGATTCTCCTCCCTCTTTTCTATTTAATAAAACTAAAGCACAAGATACAGATTTAGACTTTGTGTACGGACTTGCTTTAAATGGATTAGCTGAACTTTGTAAGCTATGGTTCTCTCTATTTGTCCTTAATTTTTATTATTAAAAACACAAATCTCGTAGTTTATTAAATAAACTTTTACCTTAGTCCGAAGTTTGAAGAGTTTGAGGAAACTATATTCTCTTTGAAGTTAAAAAAAGCTGATCGCAGATTAATGACTGACCGGCAAGTTGCAGACTTAAACTCTTCTATTCAAGCTTATTTAACTCTGCTTAACCCCTTTTTTTTATTAAAAGCGGCTCATAAAACAATCGGTAGACAATTTTTTTATTGTTATTGCAGCTTTATTTATAAAAATTACTCTTTAAATAACTATTTAGTAATTTTATACTCTAATTTACAGAGTATCTTGTTCGTCACTTTTATATTCATGTGCACAACGTTGACAGTCTTATGGCTTGCGCTTTTCCCTATCACGACAGCTTTGAATTTGTCAAGCTATTAAAGCTTTTTTCCTTTAAACAATCTTTTAAACAAGTTTCTAGCCGTTGGGCATGGATGTTTGCATTTAAGAAGGTAACTTATAACTTTTTATATGTAACTTTATTATTTCTAATTTCTAAAGGCTAAAAAACCTGTTGATCGTTATTCCTTTGCCCAGCGAATTTCTGTAGATGTTTCTTTATTGAAATTTGTACTATTTAACTTTTTTATGTTTTACTATATATTTAGTTAACTTTTCATTTTAGATTCACAATTCAATAATGTCTCTTGTAACGGTCTACGATTACAATTCCTCTAGACTCTCTTCTGCCATTAACTCGTATGGTGCTTTGATCGCTACTGCTATTGAAATTTCAAGCGAAGTTAAAGAAGAGTTTGTTATTGCTCTTTTGCCCTGCATCCTTGATGGTTTTAACTTAGGAGAAAAGTGTTTTGGTTAGTTAAAAAAAAATTGCTATTGCGTTTCTTTATTTTTAATATTTATTTGCATATATTCAAATTTACTTCAAACTCTGGTTACTATCGTTTTGTTATTTGTTATTCCCATTTTGTTTTACTTTTCAGATGAATTATATTTATTCAAATAATTTATATATAGTTAAACTATCTTTAATTTAAAGCTTTTTGCTTTACTAATCTTATAAAACTTTTTTATATTTACATATTCAATTAGACTTGTGCATTTCTGCATACGTGATTTCCTCTGCTTTATCGGCACGTGCCTTTTTTTCGAAGCACTTGTTGAACTCGCTTCTCCATCCCCTCGTGGAAAATTTATCCGTCTCGCTTCAACCTTATGCCTTTCAAACTTTTCTTGTGTTCTGCCAGACCCAACAAGCCGCTGATATTAGCCACGACGTCTTTATCGAGCTGTGCAAATTTGAGGGTCTTTTTTATTTTATAGAATAAACTATTTTGTTTTTTGGTTTTTAATGAATTGGTTAACTTTTATAATTTATTCTTACTTATTATTGATTTAAGCTTTTGCCGATCTTATTTTAAGCTTTAATGAAAAGTACGATATAAGCACGTTTTTGAAGGCTTTTTCCGATTCATTATTGTATACTCTGCGTAAGGATGTGGAGAATCTTAAAAATTTTGAATCATGGTTTAAACTTTTCATTTCTTTATTAGTTAAATTTTTTTTTAAAATCTTTTAATTTAAAAGGAAGTAGAAGACTTTTTTTATTTTTTATAATTATTAAAATTTATATAAGCTTCTTTGCTTTCTTTAGCTTATTATTTGTTAGGCCCCTCTTGGCTGAACTGGTCAGCAAAAACGTTTTTCCGCGCCAAATAATGCTGAACTTATTAAAGAATTTTTTCTTAATTTTTATGGATAATGAGGTCAATTCTGCTGATAAAAATAGCCTTTCGAAAATCCTTTCGCTGACGGCTTTTCGGTCTCGGCAGTCATTATTATTACCATTACTCTTACTATTATTATTATGATTATGATTATATTATTATTATTATTATTATTATAGCTTTCCTTGTGAAATGGACGAAGCTTTAAGTTGTTGCATAAACGCCCTAGCCACGGACGAAGCAAAGTTTTCACATTTAATGGAATTTCTAATGCACACTTTTAAAGGAACTCGTTACCAACCGATCAATGTAGAGCGTTTAAAATTTGTATTTATAAAATATTTCTGTTAAGCACTTTTTATTGGTGTTAGAAATTAGGGTAATTTTATATGTGCTTTTTCATTATTATTAAAAAGAAACATTCTTTTTTACACTGTTATTTTTTTTAACTTTTTTATTTATATATTACTTATTACTATAGTAATAATGTATATAATGGAAATAACCATTTTTTTGCAAAAGAAAAGTAGACAATGTCTTAATAAAGAATTGATTTACATGTTTTCTTATAAGGGCCTTGGCACCATTCACTTCTGCTTGGCGAGTCCTGTCAGTAAACTTCGCGTCGCTGCCTTGCAAGCTCTTCCTTTTATTACTAATGATGACGACTTTGTATGCAACTCCGTAAAGGATTCCTTGCATGCTTCCAACCACATGATTATCGATGCCGCGCTGTCCGTTCTCCCCCGACTGTTAGGTCAACGATACCTCACCTTTGTTAAAGAAAAAAAGTTTTTAATTTTTTTTTAAAATAGAAAAAGAGCTCGCAGTTGACAAGGCATTAATTTTATTGAACGGAATTATACAATTTATAACCGACCGGCCTTCTGTTCGCTCGAAACTGCTTGGCAAGTCCATTCAGGTTTTAGTTACAATCGTCGATGCCCATCACGATTTTCTGGAGCCCGCCCTGCCCTGTTTGTTGAGCTTTCTTTTCGCTAAAAAAAAAGTTTTTTTTTCGAATTGGCGGCGGTTTTCAGTTTGGTTCATATTATACTTAAAAAGAATTATAAAATCTGCCGAAGACTTAAAAAGAGCCTTTTTGCTTCCAATTTTTTGAGGAATCATGTTCTCTTTTCTGAATGGTTAAATAGTTCGCAACACTATGATTTGTTGAAAGAGAAACCGAAAAAGGAATTTTGTACATTTCTTAATCGGTGGAATTCTGAGGTTTCATTATTTTCTTGTGCTTTTTCATCCATATTTTTATACGTTCATTCCTTTTTTACCAATCATATAAAAGACTTTTAATTATTGAGGATTTAACATGACCACTAATATTTTTAAACCGTTTTTAAGCTGCTTTTATTTGTCAATATTAGCTCATTGCATCTGTTGCGTTTTCTTTGCTTAAAAATGGCGCCCTTTCGACTGTTTCTTTTTTATTATCAACTTTTGAAAAAGGTGCTCAATATGTGCTCGTCTTGCGCATGTTTATAGACACTTTATATATATTTATAGGGACTGAAAGCTATAAAGTTCCGAAAGGGACGCTCGAAGAGTTTCTTGCGAGCGTTTTATGCAAACTTTTAAGTGAATCACTTTTTAATGAAAAAAAAGGAACACTTTTTAAGGACTTAAAACATACTGAAGCCGCTTTAGTTGTTCCGCTCTTCTCTGCTCTTGGTTTACTATTATTTATTATAGCGGATAATTATTACCACTATTTTTTTTTTCGTACCGCTAATTGTAGATAAAAAGCTTAAACATACTTTTTCTGTGATGACCCTCTCATTAAACAAAAAAGGTTATTGACACCGAACTTTATGCCAATCAGTATTGTTAGAATAACTTAATATAGAGGAAAACTCTGGAGTGTTTACCTTTTTTATGGATTTGCTTGTAGAGCTTTCAGCATCCCTACAAAATAGTCTGCTTTCATTATTTTCTTATAATATGATATGCTGTGTTTTTGCATTAACTTATTTCTTATTGACTTCAACTATAAACGAAGGGACGGACTTTTTAAGTTTTTTGGTGTCGAGCAATTTGTTTGTTATAGCCAATAAAACATTTTCGCGGGTTCATAAGGGGTCTTGCATGTCTCTTCTCTCGAATATTCTCTCTTCCTTTACATCACTGTCCGACTTGTTTTTGTTTGTTTCCTTTTCTTCCTTTGGAAAAACATGTGACGCTGTCCGCGTGAATGCTCTGCGCATTTTGTGTAGGCCTTTATCTTTGTTATTACTACTATCCTTATTATGGAACTCCAGGCGTTGCTGTTTCTTCTTGTTGCGAGAAAGAAAATCTGCAGGTGTACTCCTGTTTGTTGCTTCCTCTCCTGGTCACGTGTCTCAGTAGCGAATCAAAAGAGCAGCGCTCTGCCTCACTACAACTCTTGCATGGTTTTTTTTCCTGCCCGTTCCAAGGTTGTCGTTTGTAACCTTTTTTCCAGCTTTAGAAAACGAAATTTGCACTTCCGACGCGTCTTTTGATATCAGCCACTTAAAAGACAGCTTTATATGGCGAGAAGTGTCTGACACATGCCTCATCCCTGAGCATACCAAGCCGTTTCTTGTATTTACTAATAAAAAGTTTTTAAAGATTTTACGCTTTTTTCTCGCCAATGATAAAGGTCCTTTGTTTTTCAACCCTTTTGATTGTTTTTTTACTTTTATAAAAAAATACCAGAGTTGTTATTGGACCAGAACTATCTTCAAATGCTTATTAGTGATCACGTGTGCTTAACTTCTTCCAAACTGGGTAAGGCTTGCTTTGTATTAAGTTGTGTCGTTTATTCTTTATTAATCTTTCATAGTTATTATTATTGAACTTTTTATTTAAAGATGCGCTTGTTCGTTTTATTTATGAATTTTCGAGCCTTTTAAACGACGCCCGGACCCGCGCCTCTTTGGTTACCCTTCTCAGTACGCACCGACGCAGCGAGAAGATGATCGTTATTTTTTCTGGATTATTAATGAAGACTGTATGCTGCGATTCGGCGGCCCTATCCACTGAAGATGTACACGTGACTATTCCTATTTACTGTACTTTCTAAATATTTTATTTTCAGTTAACTTTTCTCTCTTGTGTTGCTGAAATGTTTGATGAAAGTTGTTCTTCGCTTTTCGAATCTGTTCCGTCCCAGTGCGACGCTCTTTCACGTGGCCAAAAACTTTTCAAAGTTTTTCTTCAGCTGCTCAACTGTCCAAAGGTAGCCGCTTCCTTTTTTTGGCTATTTTGTTTATATTTATTAATTAATGATTTATTATGAAAAGTATCAGCAGCAGTCACACGTTCTATCTCGTGTTTCTGGAGAATTTTTTGCTTCGTGTGACGTTGCTGTGCAGAACCAATTGTTAAGCGCTTTGTTAAACATTGCTCGAGACACGGCCCAGTCACCGACTTTTGTCACGGCCGTTAAGGAGACAATATGCAGCCTTTCTCTTACCGCTGACCATGTGCATTGGCTTTTTAAACGAATGGGCGTAATTAAAGATGATGAAGTATTGTGTTATTGACTTCTTTTTCATAATTGCCAGTTCTTATCTTTTAAATTTTTAGGCGTTTCCTTGTTTAACCGGTAAACGCGCGTGCAAGAGTCTGACCGCTGATAAGAATTTTGTTGAGCGTGACCTTCAAACGCTCATTGTTTTTCTTGAACTTTTTGAGCGGAATGACCCCCAGCACCTCACCTTTTTCCAGCGCCCTTCCGAGCTTTTTCCTCTTTTTTTTGCTTTGCTCGAGCATTGCGTCAATTTGGACTTCACTACTTTTGCTTCCGTCGAAAATGCAAAGCAGCTGACTCTTTCCGGTTCGCTTACTGCTAACTTTTTATTTTTTTGGCTCAATTTTGTATTACTTTGAAAAGCTTTGAACTGTCTCTTTGTTAAGCTGAAGCATAAAAAGGACTTTTGGAGAAAAGTATTAACAATTTCTTTATTTGCATAAAAAATATTACTAATAATGCCATAATAATTGTTTTCTCGTATTAAAGATCGAGTCTTCTGTCAACGTTGAGCTGATTGTCCGTTGTGTGCGCGGCACGGACAACCCGAGGACGCGCCAGCACGCGCTTCTACTGCTCGCCACGATGGCGGCTGCGTTTCCCAGCAAAGTTTTACACAATGTAGTTTTATCTTATCGTTCTTTTTTTTTTTAAGTATATTTTTTATTGCTTTTAAATAGATTATGTCCATCTTTACTTTCATGGGGACGGACTTATCACGCCAAGACGACTCGTACACTTTTCATGTGATCCGGCACACCCTTGAAAAGCTTATTCCTCCCTTGCTTACTTCTTGTATTGGGGATTTACAGAAATCTTTGTCGATGGTTCTTGACATGATGAAGGGTAGCATTTTTATCTTTTATAACTTTTTCTTTTTCTTACTTTTATAATAGTGTTCGTGAGCGCTTATTGGCACATACCACAACATCGCCGCCTTTGTTTGTTCACTCATTTGATAACGTGCCTTGGGCCGTGCAAATACCTCTCCGCTTTTATTAGTACCGCATTCCTTGAACTTTTATTTTTTTTTTAGAGAAAAGTATTTTATTAGTTTTGCTGCAAGTCACACACAATGCCATCCCGAGCAAATCAGAATGCTGCAGCGAAGTGGAGGCGTCCGAAGCTTCCTTAAGCGATTTCTGCGCTTCTCTTCTCCAACAATTTCCTTTGCGCACGCAAGTCAAAAGTTTTGAAGAGATGCTCTTATTGGCCGTTGCACTCCCCAGCGTGCTTCCTTCTACTCGCTCCGAGAAAACAAAAGTGGCTGCACGGCTTTCTTAGTCGTAATTCTCATTGACTTTTTTTTGGTAGTACTGCAAAAATTTGGATCCAGTTTCGCAATACTTTTTGCTACTTCCTGGCGTTTCGGAACGGACCATCAGTACACTGAAGCTGCAGCTTGTTATTCTTATAAGTTAGTGTATCCTTTAGTTGGTTTTGTTGGGCGGCTCGTTAACCTTTTTCATTTTTTCATAGAAAAAACCGTCACGGATCGCCCATTCTTCACTGACTTCCAATCTCTTCAACAAGGCACGTGGTATATTGAACTCTGTTTTTATGATGAAACATATATATATTTATAGATGTAACCGACTCGGCGCTGCAGGACGATCTTTTCGTTGGACTATTTAGGCAATGTTTAGCATTTACCGGTTATTGTTTATTTTTTCTATTATAGTTTATTATTGGTAATAAATTGTTGCATTTATAAAGAAACTGCTAATAGACACGTGACTGACTTGAGTAATGGCCATGCCCGGCGCTCTTTATTAAAAACGTGGACTTCTATAAATGATGGTTTTTCTATATATCTCCTTATTGACTCTTCCTTTTTCATCGTTATTAATGACACTTTTAGTCGCCTCCCAACTTCTCCAGACGGTTGTTGGTTTGCTCCCGCCTTCCACTTTCAACTCTTTAATAAATGAGCTACTCAAATACGACGATATGGTGAATGCATCCCTTTAAATATTTTTATGTTTATATATATATATTTATATATATATTGTACAGAATATAATGAAACGAGCGTTACTTCTTTTTAGTAAGAATCTTGAAGAAGTCGGGAATGTCACAAATAAAAACCACGTGAATTTATTGGTGGGCATGCTGAAGCCCCTTGTGGCCATCGCTACTTCCGCTGAAACGTCATTATAATTAGTGCCACATATATTCACACTTCCACGTGTACTGTCTCCTATTTTTTACAGGGAACAGGTAAATAAGGCCGCTGTTAGGCAACTCGCTCTCCTGAACTGTGAAATTCTTTCACGATTATTCGGAAAACAACATCTGCATTTATTTATAGAAGCTGCAACGGCTATAGTTGACTCTCCTCTTCTGTACAGCACCAACCTCCACGTAGTGGCCTCCACCATGGTACTCTGCTGTGTTTACCCTTTTTTTGTTGACATTAATTAACGAATATATATTTGTCATTACTATCATAATTATTCATTATATGTAACGAAATGATTTTTTTTTTGTATATCTGAAAGGTTTGCTTGAGCTCATTTATATCTGCGCTTGGAGTGAAACTTATTGGTGTCCTGCCCAAACTTTTCCCTCGTGTTTTGGAGTTGTCCATTCCCTGCTCAGAAAACGCGGGTACCATGGTTTTTTCTTCTATTACTAATAATATCAACCAGATGCTTTAAAATGAAGAACCCACCCGGCTTCTACACGTCAGTCGTCTTACATTGGTCAATGCCACAGTTCGTGCTTTCCCGCAGTTCCTGAGCCCATACATCGACCGCGTGCTTGCTCTTCTTTGCCTTCCAGTGTTCCAGGCACTACACTATTTCTGGGGTGTAAAAGAAGGTATTTACTATTTCTCACCCATTAGAAGCCTGATGTTGAGCTCTCCCGCCACGTTTCTGCTGCTCAACTGTCTCTTACTAAAAATATTCCACCGCGGATTATCTTTCCAGCATTAATAAACTTTTGTAATGCTACTGTTTCTGATGGAGATGTAATATTTTTAATGAATGATTTCTTTTGTTGTTTAGTTTATCTTTAATGTCATTACTAGAAATATTCATCAGTTACTCCTTTGCTCGCATTGGTCAATCAAAGTCTTAAAAGCACGAATAGAAGCGGTATCGTTGCTCATCATAAAACGATTTTCAAGTTTTATCTTCTTTGTTTCGACTTCCGCTCGACGTTTTCTGCTTTGCTCGACAAACGTTCCTTTTTTTTTTTTTTTGAAGCTTCGCGTGTATTTTGTATAATATTTATTGTTAAGAGGATGAGGTTGAAAAGGAATGTATAGCTTCGTTTGTTAGTTTTGTTATGAAGTTAAGTGAAGCAACTTTTAAGCCACTTTTTACAAAACTGATGCTCTGGAGCCAATCATCTTCCGAGGAAACCGTGAAGTCCAATCGACAACTCACTTTTTATCGTCTTATAATGATGCTGGGCCATTCGCTGAAGTCGATTTTTACTGTTTATCTGCACCAACTTTTTCCGGAGTGTCTTCGGCTCCTGAAGGAAGGACCATCCCTCCAGCTTCTTGATTATCTTCTTTCCTCGCTTAACTCGTGTTTCCTTTACGATCCGAAAGGCATTGTTTTCACTGTTATTTGTGCTGTTATTATTGCTGTTACTCTCTTATTGCTGAATGGTTAGGAATTTTCTCGAAGGGAGTGTTTATGGAAGTTTATTTGCCATTGTTGGATCTCTTGGAATCTTCATTGGATGGTTTTAACGTATATTTACTTGTTATGCTTTTTTATTCACTTTCAGTTAAGATGAGCTCTACAAGTCTTTGGTTGTCGAGAAACTCGTCCCTCCTATCTCGAATCTTGCTTGGAGCGTGAAAGATGTCGACATGTGGAAGAAGCTAAACTACCACGTGCTACAGAAGACCCGCCACTCGGAATCTCGCGTTCGCTTTGCTGCTCTACTCGTCATCAAAGTTCACATATGTTTTTTTTTATATTTTTTTAATTTTATTCGGGATCTCTTTTAAAGGAATTTTATGTGAAACTCGGCGAGGAGTTTTTGGTACTTCTTCCTGAGAGCGTTCCATTTCTGGCGGAATGTCTGGAAGATGATTCCAGCGAAGTAGAAACTTTAGCAAAGGACGTCATTCACACGATTGAGCAGTATTTGGGGGAGTCTATTCAGCAGTACTTCTAGGAAGCCTTCGATTCATCTATAAATAGTTTATTTTTTGTTAAAGTTTTTAATTTTTTTACTAAATAATGAAGAAACTTTATTCGATTTCTTCGTACAGCGTATAAACGGAAATTTTGTTAATAGTTCAGTTTTACGTAGTAGAACGCCTTTTTAAGCAGTTTGTTTGCAGGTTAACATTTACATTTCTTTATTGACGCTTTTGTGGTAAAAGAAAACTTTTTTATTTACATTATTCAAGTTAAACAAAAAGTTATTTTTTTTGTCCATTTGTAAGTTGAAGTAGAAAGGGAACTATTAAAATTAAACAGTTTTAAAAGGATTCTAAGATTTTTTTATTAGGGATGATCTTTAAAATTCTTTAAATTGCACCTTATACACATTTTTTAGCCTGAATTTTTTTGGTGTTGACAAGAGTAGTCTAGTATTTCAAGGCATGGAAGCGTGACTGCCAGAATTGTTTTTTTATGCTAGTACGTATTGTTTAACAATAGCTGTTTTGGGAAGCTTGTGGACAATATTGCATGAAAGATATTTTTTTTACTTTAGTTTATTGCGTGCTAAAGGATTAAGTTCTTATGAATTATAAGTTTCTCCAATTATATGTTATTACTGGTATGTGCACCTGTAAGTTAATTTTTGTTGTCATAAGTACCTAAAAAACATATACCACTCGCTGCAAGTATTTTATAACCTTGTTTTTAAAACTAACAAAAACTCAAGGTGTATCACCCCGTTTCCCAGCTTGTTTGTAAACCTCTAAGGGTTTAAAAAGAACAAAAAAAAAAGTATAAAGTGAAAGTAACTATCAAGTTACCGTAAGTTATTGATTTAAATATTGTTTCTATTGAGTACGGTATTATTTTCTTTTGTGCTTGTTAAAAAATAATTAGTTCTATCGAGTTTAACACGTATATTTTTTTTATGCCAAGAATGACAATTGTCGTTGTAGCTTCACCTATTAATTGCAACAGTGCGTAAACTCTGTTCATATAGGACACTGAGATTAGGATAAAAAGCGGTATACCGCGATTATAGCTGGAGATATCGATAAAGCCACGGTGTGTCTGTCCCTTCGAACAGTTACTGCGAGGTTGCTATGGCTAGTAAATAGTGGGCGTAGATAGCAGACGCTTGTAGCGTTGATCGGAAGCATACTTAGTAAATTTATAACGCTTAAGTTTAGCTTTTCATTGCCACTACTTATTTATCACACTTAAAAGCGGCCCCACGGAGTTACCGCGTTCGTGGAGATTGTGTCTTTGTGTGATAAAAAGTAAGTATATATTTCTTCTCCAAGTTGAAAATTATCCCCATTGGTGGTATCGGTCAGCAAGCACGACTAAACAGCGATAGTGGAGCGGGGTGATACCGATGGAGAGTAAACCGTATAGGGGGCTCATTATTGAGAAAGTGTATTGAAAAATTGGGTACGGATGGCAACGCTTGTACAACCAAAGGAAAGCTACCAAAAATAAATAAAATAGATAATTATTTGACCGAAGCTATTAAGTTAGAACAGAACAAAGAACAAGGGACAATACAAGGCCTTAAAGAAAAAAAACAAAACATAAGCTCTACTGTAGCCGACCAAGTGGATACATACACATAGGTTAGAAGTAAAAAGTAAACGAGTGGTCTAAATATAAGGGTCAGAATGCTTAGAAGATAGGAGGGCCTAAGACCGAGTATTACAGAAGGATCGCTGTGATCTAAGGATGGCTACGCAGCATCCTGCGCATAGAAGGTTAGTGCTGGCTCTTAAAAAGCAAGCTCTCTCAAGGCGAGGTGCTTTAAGCGGAGCACTATAGCGACTCCGGTTACCTTTCTGACAATTCACAAAATCTATAAGAGATACTTTTTAAACCAAGAAGATAGCTGAGTTGTCTGCATTTGCAATTCTTCAGGCGGCAGTGAGAAATATTTACTAATTTATATAATTTTGTAGTTGTGTGGTGACCCAATATCATAGCAACTTCAAATATGGCAATGTTTTGTAATTCAAGGATGTACTCAACTTTAGCGGGCATAATGAGAAAGACGCATCTGTGAAAAAAGTGAAGTGTTTTAAATAACAGATCGAGTAAAGGCCCACACTGTCTTTCTCGTTTTAGCGAGATTGGCATACGTCCCTTGTTTGTGTTGACTGGTGAATAGTTAAAAAAAGCGATATCCAGCACATCTAAACTACTAGACTTGTCCATTCCCGAACGGCGCAAGCCTTAAAAAAATTCTTTGGTTTTCAATCCGGGTTGTTCCACGCTGTCTGCTTGCGATTGAAGTCTTTATATAGGGCAGCCAAGGGGCTGTTTTTTATAAGAGCATCAAGAAATGAAGAAGCTACAACTTAGAACACAATTTCTTAATTAGCTAAGCATTAGAAACACAGATATATGGGCAACTTTGAGCTTAAAACTAATCTTTTATTATTCATATTCTTTTTATATCAATCACGTTTTCAAAAGTAGGAGCTTAAAAGACTTCCACGTGATTCATCGGTCGTTAGAATACCCGTTGTATTGCACTCAACAGTGTAACGTTATATAATAGAATGAGATTTCAAATAAAGTTGCCGTATACTTTCAAACATAAAGTACTGGTTCTTTCAGGTCTTACAGGAGTAGGAAAAAGTAATTTCTTTAAATTATATGGAAATTTTTTTAATTTTTACCTTAAGCAAGACATTCAGTAATACTTTCGGATTTGCTCAATGGAGAGGTTATTTCGGCTGATTCTAAGCAGGTTTGGAGGCTATGAAAGCTGCAGTTTGCTAAAATTTTATAATTAAGTTTAAAAGATTTATCATGGTTTAAGAGTCTCCACAGGAAAAGAGAACTATGAGTTTTATAGTAAAGTTCGTCATCACTTACTAGATTGCAAAGATTTCGTAGAAAACTTTTCAGCTGGAGAGTTTAGCTTGAAAGGAAATCTTATTATTCAAGTACCTTTTATGTCTTTATTGTTTATCAGTTTTCTATTTTTATTTTTTTACCTGAGGATATTATAAGTAGAGGAAAAGTACCTCTGGTCGTGGGTGGTACTCTCTTTTATATACGTACTCTTATTGACGGAGTCATGGGTACTTAGTTTTATACCTTTTTTTTAAAGCTTTTTGTCAGATAATTTACTTTAAGGACCACCTTCTAACCACCAAGTTAAAGAAACTATTAAATGTAGACTTGCTGAGAAAACTTGGGAAGAAGCGTAAAAGCTGGCGTTTTATTATAACTTTATAGTATATTTGTAAATCTAATTTAACAGTTGTTTTACTGTCTGTAATCTTCAGTTCTTTGGAATTAAGAGAGGTAGATCCAATTTACACCTCAACCATCAATCGTAACGACTGGCTCCGATTAATAAGAGGTCTGGAAATTTATGAAACCACTGGGAAAACGCCAACACAACATAAGCATGGTTTTTTATATTATGGTTTATGTGAGATTTTCTTTTTTTTCAGTTCTTGTTTAATACTTTCTACGGATATTTTATTATTATCTTGTTTATTATTTTTATTGTTATGTACAAATAATTAAGTTATATCCAATATACTCTACTATATAGAAAGGTTTAAAAGGGACGACTTTGATTTTCGTTGTGTTTTTCTTGGCTGGGAGGATCGCTTAAGTTATTACCGTTTTCTGGACCGTCGCTGCCAGTCTATGCTTATGGAGGGCTTTTTAAAGGAGGTGCTGGACTTATACTTGAAATATGACTGTAAGAATTTCACGTGACCTAAAGACATTTGCGTTTCTCATCGCTTCTATTGGGCGAAGGCAGCGACATTCTCGAACAGCCCCGCTTTCGCCGACTGCAACCTCCTCTTGCCCGCAACGTCGCTTATATTTTAGGCTTCAAGCAGGCGTTGAATTTCATTGAGTCTTCCTTAATCGATAAGAATTTGTTATTTGAGCGTTTCGGCGATGTCACTTCTTTGCTAGAAACTGTGAGACAGCCGTATTATAGTGCCTCTGCAGAGGAGCCTCTTTTTTTCGTTCGCTAGAATATTTTTACTTGCGTGTATTTATTCCACATATTATTCGAACTTATAGAGCTGTTACTTGCCCTCAGATTTCCATCGTAAAAATTTTATAATTTTTTTGAATGAATTTTGTGCTAAAATGAGGTTTTTATAACTTTTTAATTATTTAGCGGTTTTAAATAAAAAAAAATTTGTAGGCAGTTTTCATCATCTCAGCTTAAGTGGCTTCGAAGCAATCCCGATTTTTTGTGGGTCTCGTCTTCGTTCTATGACAAAAAGCAAACTGATCCAGAAGCAATAGACACTATTTACAAATATTTCCACGCCGATCAAGTTTTTCAGCAGGAAATGTACATAATTCTCTTTTTAGTTATTTGGGTTTTTGTTAATGTTGCTGGATTTGCTAGCTTATTATATAGCAATTACTTACTGCTTTTTTTTATTTGTTTATTTCAATTTCCGCTTCTAATTTATTACAATTTTTGCAATTTATTTAAGGAGGGTACGTTTTTATTACTATTTTTCTTAAACAAGGTTAAGCAGTCTTCGGCCAAACGGCATTTCTGGTCCGAAGTGCCCGAAGACGTATAAGACCGATAACATTCTCTTTAGCACGGAAACGAGTATTAACGAGTTTCTGTTGTCACTTAGAAATTACTTTTATAAACATTACCAAAATTTAATTCTTTAAAAGCCATTTTTTCAGGATTATATAAAATTTAAAGCTTTTTTTTATGAGTGACTATAAACAAGTTATGTGATGAGTACAATCTTACAGTTTGGTGCATTACAGGGGCGTTGGTACACAGTCAAATAAATTTGTAGATTTTGTAGTTTACGTAAGTGTCACATCCAAGGGGAAGACACAATGCAAGTATAGGAAGCAGCTCCTTACTGAGAGTTAACTTGCTTGTCTTGCATAGCCGAGAGCATGAAACATTGCTAATAATTTTAGTTAAGTAGTCTAAGTGACCTTCCCACGAGCAATAGTTCCTCCATAATTCTTAGTCTGCGAGTGACCGAGGAATTCGCTATTATATAGCCATGTTTTCTTCTACTTGAAATTGATGAGACCTCGCATTAGCTGTGAGCAAGTTTTTGAAGAGGTCTAAGCGTGACTGCATATTTTATATAACCAACGGGCTTAAATTGCAATGTCATCAACGTGCTGCACAAAGGGAAACATAGTTGACTTTGGACATTCAGAAGTGAGGATAAAAAAAAGCTAAGGGGTAGCCTTATGGGGCTCCCGTTTAAAGGGAGCACGGATCGGAGGTTTAAGTTTTTATAATTTTCTATCTTTCAAACAGGTTCAACTTATTGTACGGCACAATAAAATATCTCAATCTGCCGTTTTATTAATTAATTTTTTGTGCTATACGTTATCAAAAACTCCTTTAACATCAAGAGTACAAGAATTGGATTTATTGAAGACTTGACTTTTTAGTAACGTTTTTACAAAAGTCTCAAGGCCTGTTGAGCGGTGTAATAACCTACTCGCAAGTCGAACTGTACTTAAGGAATTAGGAGCTCTACCCTGAATTTCTACAAATAATTGCTTTTGCGGTTTTCTCAAGCCCCCGGGGCGCGGTAATCTTCCCAATTTGACAATGGTGTATGCGGTAATAAGAGATATTTGCATCAAGTTAGTTATACCATCTGGATCGCTTACTTAGAGGAAAGTGTACTTATCTCAATAATTTCATCCAATGAAGTAAGCGCTAGCGCATTATCTAGCGTCTGTTCTTAGTGTATGAAATAATAGTTAATAAGGAATTGGACACCTAGGTATTCCACAAATAGAATAGTCCAGTGTAACGAAGAGAATAAGGCGTTACTTTCGTAACAAAATATGAGTTTAGAATGTTTTCTTCAACCCCGCTGTAAATTTCTATACTAAGTTGTCGGAGGCTTTGAAATTTTTAAGCTTGTTTCCTTGTTTTGTTGTAAAAAATAGAATTTTTATTTCTTTATATATTCATAAAAAATACTAATTTTTTTGAATGGAAGACTCGGACTTCCTCCCTAATAAAAATGGTTTGGGACGCTTTTGGACCCTCCTTTCTTTTACACGTCATTTTTTGAATCACTGTACTACGAAGCATATGATTTTAAAATGTACATAGTTAGGAGACTTTTTCCTCTAAACGTGCCAGATTTTGTACTCTAAGGGCTTTTGTTCTGAGTTTGTGAAGACCACTCTCCATATTTAATAAAGAAGAGATTTTGTCGACAAAACCTTTCTTGCGGGACTGGTCCCGTGTCCTTTCAAAAATTCAGTGCTCAATCGTAAACATTGTGGTACTCGGAGACTTCACAGTTCCCCTCCTTGAATGTCTTCTTGATATACTTTAGCCCCAGTTTTCATGCCTTTTTGACAAAAACGAATGTGTGCGGCCTCCAGCCTAATAACGCCAACCAAACCATCACAGATGCCGGATGATGGACTCGTTGAACAACAGGAACCCTTTTCGGCAGCTTCAGAACTGCTATGAGCTCTATTCAATCATTTTGATTGTTAAAATGTTCCTGCTTAGTAAAAATTTTCTCCTCTATGAAAGAATTTCTCGATGCTTGCTCTTTCTTGCCGTACTTTCTTAACATATACAAAGATGTCCTTTTTTTCCTGCAATAAGCATGTATTTTGGGGTCTTCCAAATATTCCTTGAAAATTTTTTCTGTTATGAGGAATTACGACAACAAGATCCTTTTTATTCACCCCTTTGTTATTTTACAACCTAAGAATTGTTGACACCTTTGCAATCAACAAAGACAGAATATTAATTGACATACCTCCTTAGTTTTCAACGGTTATTTTCTAAGACCAAGTATGACTTGATTATTATGTAGACTTTGCTAATATTATCTGGGATCTTAATTTCTTTTTTTTTTGGGCACTTGCATAATACGGCCGGTCTTCGTAAGAGACCTTATGCCGCTAATCTGGGTTTCCCTCTTATGCAGGGGTTAGGGCACGAGTGCCCACCAGTGTACGATGTCCCGAAGGACTGGGAAAACTGGAGATATCCGACCCGGACCTCCCACCATATGGTCCAGTGCTGGTGAAAAACCGCCCAAGACCACTAGGAGACACTGCCAGCCAAACCTTCCTGACTACGGAGCTTCTACTCGAGGGGGCGGCCCCTCAGATCTTAAATTGTTAAAATTTTAAGCATATATAACAACTGCCCAATTTGTTAGACATGTGGGCTGTAAGATATAGTTAATACACAGAAAGGTAGAATTTAATTTTGCTCTAGGAGTAGTGGTATACCTTTCTGAGAAGCAAAAAATGTTTTTAATAATAGTTATAACTAACAGTTTTTATTATGAGATATTGTCCCCAGTAAAAAGATCCATTCTAGTCCTTTTGGTCCTAATTATCATAGATTTAATGGAAGCATTATTCTATATTACTTAGCCCTCAATGATAAAGCGTACTACTTTTGGATACTAACGGATATATTCTACACGATGTAATTTTTAATTTTAACGCGATACTTTACAAACTGCTCTAAGTTTATTATTAGTAACTATTCACAGCAAGTGGCGACATAGGTCTACTATGTCTAGTAGTAGAAATTAGATTCATAGGATTTATGTGTTAAGACAATACTACATTGTCTTGATAGCAAGGCAGATCAATTTCTACACGCCCTTCCATATAGGACATATGGCTTAGAAACGAAGTTATTATAAGTGCTAAGTATATGGGGAACAAATGTATAAAAACTTGAGTAGACTGCAAAAGCCAGTGTGTTAACTGAGCGGGCTATTCGTTGCCTTGCATGCACAACATCATTGGTTGTTATAAAAAGTTGTCAACCACCACGTGATAAAGTAGTTAAGGAAATCATTAAATTAAGTCCTTATACGCCTTCTTACGTTATTATATGATTCTATTTTAACTTTCATTGAATTTTAAATTCAAAAAATAATCACTATTTTTATTTCTTAAAATTTAGTAAAACATAGAGTTTTTCTTGGGAGATGAAGATCTCGAACTCGAAAGCGTTGAACCTTTTAATCTGTCAGGTCTTCCGCTTTTTCGCGTGGTGGTGGCAGCGAATTCTTGCTCAGCTTCTTTTACCACGTAGCTTTTGGGGAGTTCTGCTTTTTTGGGCTATACATGTTAATGTAATGAAGATTCTTAATTTATTTCAACTATATACACAACAAAGATTCCGTCATGGTATTTTACACCTTTCTTAAGAATAACGGTTATGTAAAACTGCTTTTATTCATTTGCTATCAAATAACTAATTTGAAATTTTCTTAACTTATTATTTACATGTAGATAAGCTACCCAGAGAATCTGTATTCACTAACATGAAAAAAATGTGGGAAGGTATCAGTTTCTTGTGGTTATAATCTGCGTTTGCAACATATTTTAGAGATTCAACTATAAAAATACATCTATTCTATAAATCAGTAATTTTGTTAGCTATAATAAACTAAAAGAGGTTAAAAGGTTAGTTGGCGTTCAAATGTATTTTTAAAAGTATTTATGCTAAATATTCATATTATAACTCCACATGAAAAGTTCAAAAAAAGACTCTTGAAGAAGCTATAAAAGTAAATCAGGAAAGGAGGGCTTTGCAAGTTTCCAAAGAAAAAGAACGCTGTAGGATGCTTGAACTTGAAGGAGTTATGAGTCCCGTAGAGTAACTTGGTATATTTAACTTAGTTATATGATACCACAACGATAATTTTAACTAGGCAGCCTGCTGAAGACGTTAAAATAATATTAGATCGTTCCGGCCTTCACGAAAATCAGGAACGGTTGAGAAAGGAGAAGGAAAAATATACATCTTCTGAAAAGAGAATACGAGAAGAACAAATAGAAAAAGTAAAAAAGTATTATGTTTATGAGCTTTGACTTTTTATTTAAATATAAACAAAGAGATTAGAAGCCGATAAGAAGAAAATTACTCGAAGAGATCAACTCCTCTTGTTAATTAAAGAAGTTTTAAACTTGAATTCGCCACTTGAAGCAGAGGCACTCAAGTTTGAAGATCTTAACACTAAGTTTATGGTAAGCGCTTGTTAACTATTAGTTATTAGAGTTTAATAAACTTTTTTTAGGTTCTAAGTGCTTGTAGTATTCGCTTTGATAGGATCATTCACAACTTTGATTTGAATAGAATCAAGGACGTTAAAGAACTTTGCGACTTTTTTGACCAGCCAGATCACGTTTTTGTTCATCCGCTATTCCCAGATATAGATCTCAGTAATTTACCAAAGAATTTATTTATTGAAAATTATGAAATGAAAGATTATCGTAAAAAGCAAGTTATATAAGCGTTATCAGGCAGTCTCGACGATTAAAGGCGCGTTATTACTGCTCGTGTTTAATTCGTTTCTGCTGAGCATGGCGTGTTACCGCCTGGTGAACATATCCACTCTAAAAAAGAATAAAAAGTAAATTAGGTTTTATAATGAAAATCAATTGTCTTTTTTGCTATCACACAATTCATCCCCTTACTGTGAAGTAACTAGATTGTAGACGTTTAAGATTTAAAAATTAAAAAGTTTTTTATATAGCAACGATTGATACTTATAGCTTTTTAAGGGAGCCCACATAAAGTAGGTAGTAATATTTATATGTATTTCCGGTGAAGAATAAAAACGTTATAATTCATATTTTAAAAGCCTTTGAAAGCAAAAATTTTAAAACATTTTTTCCTCATAACTTGTAGCTACTTTTTAGGTCGGTTTTAATCATATCTACTACCCAACTGCTGTTATTTATTCTTTAACTTCCTTGCTATAGCCTTGGAGAGTTCTAAAAAAAAAGAACACCATATTTAAGCTATAACATAAAGTTCAGTACGTATCTGTTAGGGATGGAAAAACAAATTATTATTGGTAAACTAACATCTCGTTATTTAAAAATTAAAATTTAAAGCAATGTGTATATAAATATGAATTTTTTTTAAAAAAAGTTTTTATTGGCTGCTTGGATATTGCCAATACTCAACTTTATAATTGCTGAAAGAAGGCAAGTATTTAATCTTGAGTGCACTATAATTATGTTGGGGGTCGAACCTAAGCATATTAAATTATTTTCATTTATTACCAAGTACTTTAACCTTGTTAGGTTTATACCTTTCTGTGAGTTAATGGTTTTTATGCCTTTGTTTTTTAATATTTTTTAAGTTAAATACCTATCTGACTTCTGATTATTAAGTTCTTTTGCTTACAATTACAGTGGGTCGCTTGTGACTTTGGTATTTGTTGATTAGTTCTATAATTCGTTAGTTAATTTTAATTAATAAAGTTTTAGCACATCCCGTCTTTCATTGGTGTCCTTCTATCTCGTCGCTAAACGTTAAATTCACCATGATAGTTATTGTACATAATTAGTTCCTTACTGTGGTAGACGGCATTTGGGTTTATTAATAGTATTAGAAATCTATGAGAATTATAATAAGGTACTAAAACTTTTATTTGTCGAGTCTAGTTACTTAAGGCCACCTCCCCGGTGATGGTGTTTAGCTGTAATCCGCCACGAAACGAGTCATTAACACTTATCGGGTAGAAAAGTATTAGTGGGCATCTTTGCTTTTAAATCGGCATCCTTAAGGAGTAGGCTACAACCCTCGTCAGCGAGAAATAAATCATTCTTCAAGGCTTCTACACCGATCCACCAATAGTAGGCATTGCAACTGCCCTGCGTTACCCCTTCGAAAAGCACGATTCTCTACAAACCGCCAAACTTTTAGGCAATGCACTAAGTAACCACTGCCCTTTTTTACAGCACAAGAACTGTATTTCATTCCATGACACGTCAGTTATGAAGGGGATCCCCTAAAGATAACGCATTCAGAAGCCTTGTTAGTTGCTCCTCAAACTTCTAACTGCGGTCAGGAGAGTATGTGCTTTTGTGGAGGTACAAAAGCATCTCAAATACTGTTTTCCGACATCGGCACGTCAACGACCCGTGGAACACAAAACAAGTGACTTCTACTATATTTTTTGCGGTGAGGAAGAGATAGACGTTTAGTCTGAAAACAACAATAACAGCAACGACTTATTGCTTCGTAGCAATAGAGCAAGGTACTGGAACCACTGGCAGCTTCCTTTAAACCCTCTTTTATTTGATAAGTAACCTGGCACCCTCAAGTAATTCTTATTCCAACTGCGTTTAGAGAGACTTAAAAGAGCTGTCAAGAGAAAAGGTGCCATCGTCGCACTGTTAATTGAGACATATCCGCATGACTCGTGCTTTCCAATAACAAGAACCGCCCCAGGGGCCGTGCTATTACGGTGTGGGAAAACTCAAAGTACCCCCGCTCTTTCAAACCTAGTTGGTCAAGAGGCGATGGAGACCCCCCTCAGCTTGACACATTCGAAGCAAACGGTATAATCTAAAAACCTGCCCAAAATCCGATAACACAGCTGATTAGCTGTATTACTACGAGACTAATCTGCTATTGTAAAAATTTTAACGGTAAAAATTTTTCGGCACTGAAGAGCTCTCGAGGATACACATGGTGTAAACCAAACGACCAGTTTGCTCGATAAAGTCGTGTTCTTGTGTACACACTTGCTGTCAGCGATGGAGGCGCCTAATTAGCTTCCAGCTGCCCATCTTGAGTTTGGTGAACGCAAACTATACCAAAGACCTTACATGGTCTTTTGAAGATTAAATTTTTCAGCAACTCTCTATTCTAAGCTCTTTGTTTTATCAACTACTGCCCTAAAATAAATAAGGTGGTGACCATTAAACTGTTAATAACGCTGCCACCGCAATGAATCGTAAACTTACGCTGATCGTCAACCATCCTAATTGCGAGTGGCGCTGGATAATACGCCTAGCTGCTGCTATGCAATACCAACGACAGACTGCAGTAAATTATCAGCGTGGAAACCATAAAAAAGAGCTGGTTTTTTGCTCTTCAAAACAACTCTTTGAGCTACAATGAATAACAGATCAGATTGAGGCATGGCCCATGTCCCAGTTATCTTACTAAAAGATGTCAAAGTTGTACTGCGCCGATTAAAGAAGGTTTTGGGCGCATGTTTTAAAGTTTGAGCTATCATATAATAGTTAGGCCCAGCTACTACTATACACAGCAGCTCTTGCGTTTCTAGTAATGGATTACTTGTGGTTCCAACTCAAAGAGAGTCACGCGAGCCATTTTCCTCGGATCTGGCACCAAGGTCTTTTGAGTACGTCCTCAGCATTAAGTGTTCCCACGCGCATTCTAAACTTTGGCCTCATGTCATGCATGCGCTGTTACTTACTATTATGCGGGGGCTTCTACTTTGGCCATTACCACGCTTTTACGTACACGACATTTCACGCAGACCACAGCTATTTACGCGTCAGTCAAAGAGCCCCAAATACGTAGCACCTGCTAGCTGGTGAAACAATAAGGGAGGGTGGTTAACGTAAAGAAGCTGCGCACTCCTGTCCTTCATTCGAGAAAGCGGAAATTCCAAAAAATATGGGGGAAGGTGAGGGTGGCGAGACAAGCGTTTTACGCTCTATTGTGCGTGGTAAAAGATGAAAAGGAAAGCAATTTGAATTTTATTAAATTCGAAGCAAACTAAAACATCGCTCGTCTATACAGCGGTTACGTGCTCTATATATAGTATATCTTCGACAAAAATCTCGATAAACCTGAGCCCCATTCATTCTGAATTTTTCAGTCAATGCGGTTAACCGAATTCCTTTTTTGTTAAAAAACAAGAGCTGGTGTTTATACTTGTGCTTTATTATTTGGTAAAGCAAATAATTAAAATATTTGTTGATGTCCTAGAATTAACAATATGTATAGCCCATCTGGCTTATGCTGCTTGGATATTCGAAGCACAACGACCTTGAAACCGAACAACTTAAAGAACTTTTAGACGCCGATTTTGGAAATGTACCGTGACACTTCGAATTACCCTTGAGGCGAGGGAAATTTCATATACCTATAACGGGAAGCAATATTTCCGCGATGCGTTATTAAGACCTTTATATAGTTATTAAAGATATAAAGAAACTTAATTTAAGGAAGTCTACTCTCGAGAATACCTAGCTAAACGGCCGTTCTTGCATTAATTATTTTTTTCATTTCAATACACTGTTAAAACAAGTCTATCTCTGCTAAAACTACTAGAGATTATGTAAACTAAAACGAATGCAGCTTCTAGATAGGTATTAAAAATAATCAGAAGCGACGTTGGTAAATTTAAAAAATAAAAAATGGCTAGAGAAAAAGTTCAAATTGTTATAATTTTTTGCACTCTAAAATATTTACTTGACTATTAAGCCATAGGAAACATTTAAAATATTAGCTTACGCCCAAAGGTAGCCTATACCGTTAGCCGACAATACAGCGATTTTTATTGACGCCAGGAATACCCTTGGCTTGAATCTTTGTCCACCATTATGTATTGCGAGGAGGAAGATACCGAGTGGAATGAAATACTTCGAAATAATGGTATTTTACCCCCTAAATCTCCACCGGAAATTACAGATTCTTTTGCAGAGCAGGCAGTTTAGAAGCTTTATTCATTTTTTTAGATATATACATTGCTGAATCCCATATAGAACGGAAATGTTGTGAAACCTAACTGTTATGAAAAATTGACTCTCAGTGATCTTGAGGATTTAGAGGACGAGGTCGATGAAAGGATTCTTTGGCAATACAAGTTTTTAAACACTAATATATTTTTGTTTTATTGATATTATAAGATTTAAGCTTTAAAGACAAGATGTTTATTTTTTTTTTAAACCAACTATTGGTTTATTGTATCAAAGTTACTAGTTTTTGCTTCTACCTGACACATTAAGGTTAAAAAGAATTAAAGAAATTAAGGAACAGCAGCACGCATTACACTATGGAAGAATAATGGAGATTAGCCGGGCCGATTTTATAAAAGAGGTTACCGAAGCTCCTAAGGGATGCCCAGTTATATGCATTCTATATTGCAAGTAACAGTACTCGATGTTATTTTTTTTTAACCTTTAACATATATCTTACTCAGAAGTTTTTTTAGTAAAAGTATTCCACCGCCAATATGTTTATTTTAAAGATGTTGGCTTTGACTTATATTTGACTTCCTCAAATTGTTAAATTTATATAAATTAAAAGTTAAACTTTTTTTCTATAAAGATTTAAGTTTTGATAGTTATTAAATAATAACAGACTTTTTTCAATAAAAAATTCACATTGACCTTCAAAAGTATACTACTAACTTGAGATGTTAAACTAAAGTTTTTTCTCTGACAAATATAGTAAAATTGGTTGTCCGTCTTTTCTTTGTCAAATTATGAAGAGCCATGTTTTATAACTTCACTCAGACAATTACTCTTTAATTTTTTTTATACAAGTGCACTTCCAACTTGCAAGTTGCTTTTGAAACATATGGAAGTTTTAGCCGAAAAACATTCAACTTTAAAGTTTGTGAAGATTACGGGGAAGAGCTGTATCGAGAACTACCCCGACGAAAACTTGCCAACCATATTTATATATAAGAACGGCAATTTACTTTCCCAACACGTGGGCCCAATGCAGTGCGGAGGTCCAAATATGACTCTTGATGGTAAAAAAATACGGCAAGAATCAACACCTTAAAGTGACTTTAGGTTTATTTCTAAAGGCGTGGAGCGGATTTTCTCAGGATCAGAGTGTTCACCACAGAGTTAGAATAAAGGACTCATGTAAATAAACACCCAATCTCGTTCCTTGCCTACTTTTGAATTTAATAATAAAATATCTTTATCTTTACACATAGGTCATATATAGTACTTATTAAGGAAAAGTTTAATAAAAAAAGAACTTTAAATAGGTTGCTTTAATACTAACATTAAAGTTAATATAAAGAATACTACAGGTTTCCTGTCCTTAAATAAATAACTCTCGCTATAAGAAAACCACAATGAATAATAGAGTGGAACGCCCTAATTTATTTTCCCTTTATTTCGCAAAGTACCGAGGGGAACACGCCAACTTTGCCGTTCAGCCTCCCCTCCCACCAGCCATCGTCCACATCGCTCAGTTCTAATGAGGTCGAGACAAAAAAGTCAACATATAAACCCAAATCGAAGCAGCCCAAAAATATACTTGTGTTTAGAATCTCGATAACATCGCCTTTGTGGAAGGAGAGCTCATCGGGCGTTTCTGCTAGATATTCATACTGAGCGGTGGCTAACCCCACAAAAAACAATTTCTATTGGTTAGTAATAAACACCAGTAAGTTATAGATAAACCGTATTTTATAGGCTCCTCAGGAGTGTCAGAGGACTGCAAAGAGCTATGTACCGACAATGCAGGGCTTGAAAATCTTTTGCCCTCACTCCAAAGGAAAAATATTAGCTGAAAGGGGGGTGATTGAGTAAGGAAACCTTCCGATCTCGATATAGGACAACGGAACAAGCCCTCGAAAACAAAAAGTTGATTGAAAAACCATCCGTGCAAACCCATAAGCGGTACCATACCTTCTCTGCCTTCCTGGTTCCTACAGAGGCACCACCCGTCTTCGGCGAGGTCAACTACTGTAAGGACTTCGTCTTCAACAATAGAAAGTTCATCTTGTTCCACGCCTTTGTAGTCATATAAAACTGTGCAACTTTTCCCTTTCACCGAGCCCTAGAGTATAAGCAAAATGTATAAACATACGAATAACACGAAGTCGTTCGACTAGCTCGGTCCGACGCCCAATACCGAACCGAGACCAGGTCGCAAGCTTTAACAACTTGACGTACGCGAGGAATAGAGATTCTCGAGGTGGACAAGAAGTTATCCAAATTACTCTGAACTTCTGACTCGTGCGGTATGGATACTAACACCGCTCGTTAAAAAGATGCGCATCAAACTCGGGAGCAGGATACCCCCGTGTCCGGAAAGATACTCCATTCTAGCTTTAGCACGAACCATGTCATAAGTTGCGAGGATGGCGGTCTCTCTTGTTTCAATAATCTGCCTAATCATATCCTAATGCGCTAAGTAAGAAAACAACGCCCTTTTGGGCAAAAGAAACAAGACCTCGTTCGCTTCAGTGTTCATATTTTCTCTACTGAAGTCTGACAATCCCCTAAGGGCCTCAAGCTCTGCAGGGAGAAAACTAAATATTATAAGTTGCCCTCTTCACAAGTAGAAGCAGTAAACCTTTAATATGCTTTTCATATAATCCTTGAGCCTTATTGTAGTGAATAACACATTGCCGCGCAAATTTGTTTAAATGTTCTTTCGTGGTCTCGTCGTTGACAATGGAAGTGATCTGTGTTTTAAAAATTTTAAAAGCAGAAACTTTGAGTAAGAAGAGACTTAACCTCGTCAAAGTTTACAGGTATAAATTTATAGTAATTTTCCCGTTTAAAGATATTCTTTGATAAGAAAAGGTCTTCCTCAGTGCGCTGAGCACGTAAAAGCAGCAAAATTTATTACAAAGTAGTGCTAAGTTGCGTTGTTGCAGTACTCTGTCGATGCTGTCAAAAATCGCTTTCAATACGAAACAACTCGAACCCGTGGCTTCAGCGTCTTTGTGGAGTAACTCGCTAAACAAAAGGAAGAAGTTTTGGCAGGAGCTGTAGTAGTCGTCGTCAAGATCCTTATTTCAAGTACCACAACTATATGCTAAACAAGCAACTGAGAGTCTGTAACAAACGAACGCTGAGAATCTGAGGGCAGGTCTCCTGGTAATACGTGTTCAGTTGAGCGTTCAGTTCTTCAACAAACAGTATATATGAGTTTCGCCCGCAATGAGCTTTTTCCAAACAGTTCATCATTTTGGCATAAGCCTTTAAACCATAAAATATAAATACTAAAACAAAAATTAAACATATGCAGTATACTTTTTTAACGCGCTTTTCTACTTCTGCTTTTGTTCCATGAAACACTTTTAAAGTGCTAAATCCTTTTTTATCTTCTGCCAAATATTTAGAAAAAACGTTACAACCAATTCTATTACTTACTTAATAAATAATAACAACTATAGATTTGAAAAAAAGTAAATAAACCTAAATAAAGCTATATCATAAAAAATTACTAGTAAGTTTTTTTTCAAGGTCATTATAAGAACTCTCCGCAATTTGATATACCTTTTCCATATCTTCATAATATTTCTTAAGCTTAGTTTTATATAAAATAATAAACGGAAAACCCACGATGTCGAAAATAAAACCTTTTCGAGTTGTTGCTGTTGAATGTAAAAGTGTTCTTGTAGTTTCAAATGGGCCGCTGTAATCTAAAACTAATAGTTCAAGAAGTATTCTTAAACAAATATTTAACGTTACCCTTTTAATCAAATTTTTTTTTAAAATAATTTTGTTTTTAAAGGCCTCTACGAGCTGATTTGAAAAACTTAAACTCATATCGTTGTGCCTTACATACTTACGGTAATCAAGGGTTAGCAATTCATCACAGAGTAGCTAAATACCTGTCCGCTAAATTTACTGTTTCATCAAGAATTCTTTTAAAGGAAGAAGCGACGGTACTTTAAAGAACACTTAAAATAAATAACCACTTTAATCACAATAAGTATACATTTTGTTTCTAGATTCAGCTATTAAGTCCTCTAATAAAGGCTTAGAGAGGTGAGTGCTCGCTAAAGACCTTAAATCTGTAAATAAAATGGAAAAGAGATTATAAACATAAATTCTTTGGTAATTACAGTTAATTGAAATAAAACTTACTTTTTGAGTATTCTGCTTCAATTTGAGCTCTTTTTTTAAAGTATTCCCTAGCTTCTTCTAAAAGTTCAATATCTCTCTAAGTTCAAAAGATTTAGGAAAAGACAAATAAAAGGCAATGAGTTATTACTTGGGATTTTATAGTTAGCAGCTTCAAATGTTCAGCCTGAGTTTTGCGTTCTTGAACCGTCTCAGGAACATAATGATTTCGACGGATTATCTTAGTAGACATTGATTCCATTTATTTTAAATAGAACATTTATAAATAACAATTGTCAATGATAACAAACTACGAGCATAACTCGCTCCTTGAAGAGACCCAGAAAACCTGAATTTCACAGTCCTTGAGGGTTGCAAGGACATATCCTCGAATATAGGTTTTCGGTTCAGTAGTTAGTAACGACCAAAATTTATTTCCTTAAAAAGAAGTGGTTTAAAGTCAACAAATCAATGTTCTGGATATTCTGGGCTTGCCTAAGTAAAAATCCTCCTTTACACTTTAAGTTCATGACTAAAATGATGGTATTCTTTACAATAATTTCTTATGTAATAATTATTAAATTTTAAGCTTAAGTACTAGAAACTTTTTTAAGAATTTATTTTTAATTAAAAAATGCTCAGCTCTAAATAACAAAGTTTAAAAAATTTCATTCCTTAATTTTAAGCACGTGTATTTAATGAGAGCTCTGTGGTGTTCATGATTATTGTAACTAACTTTAAAACCACTTTGGTAAATTTTACCAATCTCATGCTCTGCCTGAGTAGAACGACATCTTTTACCTTTTAAAGCACACGTTTTTACTACACCTAATTCTGATTAGTGGTTCTAACCTACAAAAAAAAATAGAGTGTGGTCATCTTATACATCTAGATATTGATTAGCGGTGTTACCCCAGTGGAAACCGCTACTTCAAACAATAATAGTTAAGATTGAGAGGTTTGGTTTATAAGCTAGTCAAAGCGGGGCAGTTTTTCTGGGCTAGCAAATTAACTTATATAAATAGAATGTTAATTTTATTTTTACATACGAATTATTAAATTTTTATTAATAAATTGGTTAGTATTAGTCTTAGCGCCTAAAACTCGGGCTAAAACTAAGTATTAAAAACTACATAACCCTAGTTGCTCTGGTAGTAAGAATCAGGTAATTAAGAATTTTCAGGTTTTTCAGGTTTTCGTGTTAGTCTCTTCTTTACTCTAGATGCCCTCCACCAAATTGTTAACGCTCAGTTGAACACCAGCCAGAATAGCATTATAGCCAATTTTAACTATCACCCATCTAAAGGTTTATTCTGTTCGTTCGTTTTATAACCAATTTTTGTTAATGAAGCGCCTAGTTGATTGCGTTGCTGACTGACTACTGCAATAAAGAAACTTCGTTGTCGTAACCAACAAAAAATTGTATAATTCTATTAGTTGTATATTAGTAATTTAAAGTGTAATGTTCTTAATTTTATTGTATCTTACGAAGTAGTTGAAATATAAAGTGCACCTTTAATTAATTTACCTAATAAAGCTAAATAAACGGTGTAAGCATTAACCATTAAGCAGGTACGTCGGGCTATTAGAACACTTCTAGCAACTAAAAAAAATCGCTGTAAGCGAGAAGCAATTCAGTATTCCTGCTTCTGTTCCTCTACCCACTTTCACAGCTTTAAAGTTGGCGCTGTACTTGATTCATTAAACTATGCTAAGGAAAGTGAGAACTTACAATTTATAGTGTTCTAAGGATGCCTCAGAAATTAATAATAATCTTTAATACCAGAGAAAGTTGTTTTTTGATAGATTTTAACAAGAAACAACTAACTACAAAGCGCAGTTCACTACACAAAATATTTTTAAATCAAATAATATTCCATCAAATAGTTGATAAAACCACTACCTTAAAGCAAAAAAAATAGAAAAAAACATAAATTTATATAATAAAAGGCGATTATGAAGTGTAATAGACTATAATAATCCCAAGCGAAATACATTTAAAAACCCAGAAATTGCAGAAGTTAACTAAAACAGTACAGAAACAACGAAAATTTTTGCAGGAAAAGTTTTATTATCGCACCAATCAATAATCAATACTTTGACCAATAAAAAATAGAATCAGAAAAAAGGCAATGCCCAATTTTTTATTTTCATACAAATTAAACAAGGCCATAATTGTAAAAATTAGTCTGGTAAGAATAAATTAATTTTACGATAAAACTGAGTAAGGTTATTTTTAGAACCTTTATTTTTCTTATTACATTTTTTATATCCGAAGACCGTGATTGGTAATAATCCGCAGTTAACCTGTAAAAAACAATTTAGGACTACAGCAGGCTGGCCATATCTGTGTACACAGCAATAGAAAATCAAGAGATTGGAAAACTAATGATTTATAGGCTTGGTGAAAACAAGTAGTACTTATTAAAGCTTATGGTATGCTTCTATGCTTACGAGGAAGAGTGTCGACATCGACATCAGGTTGACTGAAAATCTTTTATTTGGTCATTCTTAAATAACCTTAAATTAGGTTTATATTTAAAAAAGAGTTGTTAAGATAATACACAAAAAATGATCTAGTAGTCGTAATACTAAGAATTTAATTTTATTAACAACCTAACTTGAAAGGGAAATGTCATTTAGCTTTGAGCTAAAAGCGCTATGGAATGTCATTGCTTACAAATGCGGAAGACTTTACAGGTTAGCTAAACTGAACCTCTCTATACAATTAATCTAAAATCAGCATACGCATACCTACCTCAAGAGCTTTTTTTTATTTTAAAACAGATACTGTCGTAGAAGAAACCTTCTTAGCAGACTATAATGAAAAAAAGAGGCCTTTATAGGTTATTGCTACTTTATAAGGTTTAAAAGGATCAGTTAAACATAAAGACTTATTTGGCTAACTAAAAAGGCATGGTTAACACAAATTAATTCGATGAATACACTCTATATTAGCAATTGTAAAGTAACCCTAGGTACCTACGTTAATCACTGTATAAAGTTGGCTGTCCTAAAAAATAAATTTTTTATTAAGAAAGGCGTATAAAAGAATGCAACATTATTAACACGTCAAACCTAAAATATTCTGTTGACACAAAACCAATATAGACTTTGCCCACAAGTACTAAACTGCACCCTTACTCAACGGAAACTAATATATAATATTATTGCTGACCGCTCTTACACAGTATTTATGACCATCGTTCCTTCACTATGGAAATGAACACAAGGAGCTAGTGCTCAACAACCTCTGACAACAGTTTGCTAGTCAGTTATACTACTGAACCATCTTAGCCGATTCTTACGACGTTGACGGCTCTCCAGTACAATAATCCCCAACAGTTGGGACAAAAGTTAATAGATCTTGTGAATTCAAGTAAAATTTTTCCAAATTTTGAAATTAAATCAATTTTACACGGGTATTGGAGCAGTATAGGGTATAGTGAAAGGTGCCCCATCAGATAAGAGGGTACGACGTAGTAATGTTGATCAACATTCAATTAAAAATAATCGAAGAAAATAACATTAAAAATATCTATCGAGGCTTAACCTTGTGAACATATTCACAAAAGCTAACTACTATTTAAAACTTATTAACAATTTTATTAAAGTACGGCACTATGTAGGCAAGAAAAATCCTAACAAACTCATATTATTTATTAAAAATATTACAGAACATATAGAGGTTTCTAAAAATAGAACTATAATATATAAGCAGTATAATCCTTAAAGTGACCCCCAACCTAAGCATTTTATTTTTCTTAACCAGAAGAAAAAAAAGAAAATTTCTATTGGCTCCCAACGTCAAATAGATGGCACGTGAACATTTTGTGGTGCACGCCTTACCGGTTCTTCTGGATATTTCGTACGTGAGGACGCCATCATGCCCAGTTGTTCAACTTGCGTAGGTGCAGCTGTCGAAAGGGCAGCGGACGGGATTTCCTATTGCTCCAGCTGCTCACGCGTAACTTAGTTATCTTGCTTTTGGTGCTTTATTTTATTATTATTTTTTAGGTAATTGAGAACGATGAGTTTGTTGCACAGATAGAATTTCAAGAATCCTCGGGTGGCGCTTTCAGCGTTTGTGGAACTTTTGTCACTAATGATGGTTTTAATACTAGCGGTGCTTACACTTTACTTTTTTTAAATATACTTAAACTAACGACGCGTAATTGAAAGGATCTAATAGGCTATCCTCCCGGCAGATAACTATTTTTAACGGTTCGTTCATCCCATTTACCTCTGTCTATACTCCTTTTTTGATATTTTTCTAGCCAAAAAAAGAATTCAAGATCTGGCCATTAAGTTACAGCTAAATAATTCCTTTATTGATCGCGCTCTTCAACTTTACAAACTTGCTTTAAACTACAATGGTAATTTTTCAAATAAGGTTTAGACTAGGTATGTTTATAAGAGTTAACTTGGAAATAGTTACCAAAGGGAAGAAACTGGATCATGTTTTAGCAGCTTGCTTGTATATAGTTTGTCGAAGAGATAATACGCCACGTATGCGAATTTTTCTGTAAATATTTTTTATGAGTTTTGATTATCGATACCAGATATTTTGTTGGATTTTTCTGAAGTAACTGATTGTAATGTTTTTGTTCTGGGAAGCACTTTTGTTTCCTTGTGTCGAAGTCTTAATATCCAATTTGAGACCATCATAGGTATTTTTGAGTTGTAACGCGGTCGGAATTGTGAAATAACTTTTTTTTCGTACAGATCCATGCATATTCATATGGAGGTACGCTAAGAAACTTGAGTTTGGTAGTCATATAAAAGTAGTGGTCGATTCAGCACTGGATCTTGTTAAAAGGTTAACTGAAACTCTCATTACTTCTTCTTTTCTTATGACGCTAAGCCAACATTATTTAATCCTTTTTTCCACTACAGAATGAAGCGAGACTGGATTCACGTTGGAAGAAGGCCAGATAGCATCTGCGGGGCTGCCTTGCTTATAGCCGCTCGTATGCACAACTTTAGCCGAAGCGTCAGCGAGATTGTTGAAGTAGTTCGCTGCTGCGACATGACTCTTCGCAAAAGGTTTCTTCTTCGCTCTTGTGTGGGGTACAGTCAATTATGGTGTGTCACTGCTCAGGCTAAGCGAGTTTGAAGTAACGCCCTCCGCTTCTTTGGCTGTTTCAGAATTCGAAAGCATTTTTTTGGAGGAAGAGTGCGATCCCCCCGCTTTTTCTCGGCTTCGGGAAAAGTCCCACCTTCAGGTGTGTTTTTCTGTTACTGAGAAATGAAGCTCTACACGTAGCTCTCATTTTTATGACTCAAGAAGTTGCCCGTTTTAACCGACTTCAGTACTAACGATGAGCACGTACTGAGCCATCTGGCAGGAAAAATAAACTGGCACTTAACGTGTCCTTATTACATTTATGAATCTCTGTATTTCCTACTGAGCTTTATATTAATAGTGTCTCTGCTTCTTTAAAAGAGCGAGTATCTGATAATCCAGATATATTAGACGATGCCGAAGATGGTTGCGTTTAATATATATAGCTGGTAGAATAAGATTGGTGATATTTATTTTAATTTACTAGAGGAAGTGAATAGTTGTATACTAACTGAGAGCGAGACTGAAGCTAAAACCATGATCTGGAACACGCTTAACAGAGACTTCCTTCGGGAACAAGAAGGTTGTTAATACTGCATTTACGACTTTTATAACCTTTATTTTGTCACACAGAAAAAGAAAAGCGACAAGGTAGGATGCACGATTCTGAAATGTCGTCTAGGAAAAGTAAAAAAAGGAATCAGAAGAAATTAAAAACTCTAAACGGTCTAATTTCTCTTCTTTTATTGCTTTTTATAACTGTTTGTTGGCTGTAGGGTGCACCCACACGGGAGCTCACGATAAATTTTTGTCTAAGAAACTTAATTACTCGGTAACAGTTTTTAAAAAAGTATTGTTACCTTTTGTTTTTCTACAATATTTGCTTGGTCCAGGCACTAAAAACTCTCGGCATTGTCACTGAAGACGACGACACGTCTCCTGCCGTACCTGACGACTTTGGGGAACGGCTTAGCGAATCGCCTGGCCTCTTGCAAAGGAATACGATTTCTACCTGCGTTTCTGAAGGGGAGGCTTCAGCTGCTTCTAGCACGGAGCCCATCAAACTTCTGGCTCTTCATGATGTTTTAGCTGAAGAATGCTACACCGCCTCTCCTTCGCAAGACTGCTCTACTGAAGAGAGAGCTATTCCCGAAAGGATGGATTTCGCTAGTCAGGATGAGTATGTAGACTTATTTGAAGAGGATGAGGAAGAGTACGGGGGAGAGGACTGCTCTACTATAGATGGACATTGGTACCAGAACCAGGGAAGCTTTTGCGACGGCACTTACAGTTACAATTGTTAGATGCTCAGTTTAGTTTATTTGGTCTTCGTTGCGCATTCCTTTGTGTATTTGGAATTTACGTTGTCTTGCATCCCCAGCTAGCAGTATATCTCACTGTAAATGATTGATTACTTAGGTATCGTAGTTTCACAACTTGTTTTTTTTAATGGGGGCCAACTTTATAATAAAACTAGTATATGACTTGTTAGAGCACAAGCCCTTATCTACTGTCTTTATATCATTGCTTGCTGTTATAAAGCTAACATAACTCACCATTTGATTTTTAACACAGCTTATAAAACATTAATACACTAATTATACCTCAAGTATTAGTTAAAAAAGTTGTACTACCGCTACAGCAAATGTTCACTAAAAAATATCTTGAGAACTCAAAACTATAAATATTGGTATTGTTATTTAACTCTGCAAACAATCTTACCTTTTCTCGTAGCTTCTTTTCTTTTTGGCGGTTAAATATTGACAGCATGAAATATGATATGTTCCTCTCGTCAAAATCCCAGCATTTGTTTATATTTAAGTTTGTTATAAGTAGAGGTTATTTTAGCTAAAACACCGCTCTCCGTTGAGTTACTATTAGATGTACTGAATTACGCATAAGATACCTTAAAACTTCTAATCTTTCGTAAAAAAGGTTACTAGTAATAATGATGTAGTAACAATTATAGTGGTATTTTAAGGATAATATTAATAAGGTTCACTAACGTTAAAAGCGATATTAGTAATTGTAACAATTTGAAGTGAAGTAGTCAATATCAATGAAAAACTGGGAGTAGTGAAGCGGTTGTGAAAAATGTAGAAGGCAATATCAGCGGTGTAAGATGTGAGATGCTTTTTCATACTTGTTTCGAGAGTGGTTTAATTTTAAATCTAGTTGACTACCAGCTGCCTAGAGGCGTCGTTATCTTATAAGAGGAGAGGCGCTTTAGTTAGTTTTTAATCAGCGTAGTGAGTTCTATAAAATTAAAGATAGGACTCCTAAAGAAATTACAGTTAAATTTTGACCGTGTGGAGAAAGTAAAAAACAATAATACTTTAAAAAATGAGCTGGGGTGTCAGTGGCTTGTCGACCAACAGAAGGAAAAACATCTTTTATAACATAGTTGCAAACAGAACATCCTCTAACCGGGAGATACACCCGAGTTTTTGGAAAAACTGACTGCCTCGGGTCGAGGAGTTAAAAGAACAACTTCAAAATTTGCAAACAAAACTAGAGGAAGCTTATCAGAAAATAAACATAGAAAAACTAATAAAGAAAAATTACTAAATCCTCCAATAACCTCCCGTTATCTTGCCCACGTGAAAACCCGTATGAAATACTTTTAGACGACGGAGATATGGGCCGCAATACCATCGATAATAGCAGTGATAACAGTATCAATAGTGACTAAAAATATAGCACTTATAATAAGAGAAGAATAGCGCTGACGACATTAGCGTTAGTAATTATAATAACATTAACAATAATATCAATACCAATACTTATAATAACGGTATAAATAAATTTTATAATAAAGTAAAATTAAAATAATATTACTCTATAATTTTAATAGCAATGATACTAATAATAATATTAAAGAAAGGATTCCTTCAATCACAATTCGAAATAACTAAAAATGGGATGATACTGTTAACTTGATTAAAAGAGAAAACATAAAAATTTCGAATGCTAAAGATTTCAGACGTGCCATACATATACTAAAATTGTCTCTTGCAGGTTCACCGCTGTCTTGGATTGAGACGGATATCATTACTACACTATTTAGGATATGTAGAGGAGATGTTTTTACTGGGATGAGCACCAAACTATGGACTGAGTTGTAGTCTCTATGTTTTATCTCAATGAGGGTATTCGCTTGCGAAGTCACAAAACGAGAATCCTTTACCTTTAGTCCTACTTAAATTGCCTAAAACCGCGAGTACCATCTATCATTTAGAAAACAATGGATACATTAAAAAAATAGTAGTCGAAATGGTCAATGTTTCCGCTGCCATCTATATGGGCATAGTTCCAACGACCTGCACCTCAGAATTTAACGGTGTAAAAGGCGGTTACAATAACGATTTTAAGCTTTGCGGAAAAGAAGAATCTGGTAAACCACGCTGCGCAAATTACCAGGGGGAACACAGTCAATTACACGGGCTGCCTAATCTACTCAGAAATGCAACACTCGTAAAGAAGCAAAGTAAAGAGGAGACAATGTTTAACCATGTCTCATATATTTTGAAGTCGCTGGTTTGGAATACATTAAGTGTTACTGGACTTAATGGCGGATCTAACAGGCTTGAACTTAGTAAATGAAGCGATGAGTAACTTTGCTTCCCCAGTTACCAAAAGAAATAAGTGCTCAATTTGCATATTCAAAAATATTTTGTTAAAAAATTTGAACTATTAACCCATGACTATACTGAGGTACACAGCTTGAGAATCTTTGTCTGAATTGCGGATGGCCTTCGCACCAGGATGCGCTAACTTCAAGAACTGGTCGTGAGCCCAGATTTTGACACAATATTAGTCTCAGGACGCATCCTTACCAAGGTGACACATATGTGCGGACAAGCTATTCGTTATATGGAAAAGGTAGACCCAATTCTGACCATGGTGTGACTTTATTCTTAAAGAAACACATTCCGCACTTTCCACTCTAATACCAAAAACCTTACGTTGTTGAGGCTGTTTGAGTTAATTTTAAACTTATCGACCATGGTATTTTCTTAGATTATAAACTTTCCGACAAAGATTAAAAAGGGGAAATATTGATACAATATTCTCTAGCTCAATCTCAGTAATTGTTGGAGGAGATCTTAATTGCAACATCCACTTTGAAATAGTACTTGCCCAAACTTAAATGGGTTCTTTTAAAAAAACTTGCTGAAGAAACAGGATTCCTTGTGGTGGGTCGTAGAAAAACCGATTCATTATACCACAAAATTACACAACCGATGTGCTCGATATTACCCTGAAGAATGTCTTCTATTTCAACAATAACGTTGTTGGAACTCTCTTCTGACCACAATTTTGTTCTAATCACGCTTTAGGATATTCCCTACTATTTACTAAAAAAGGAGAAGAAACTATTGAATCAGTTTAGTTTAATGGTAACGCCTTTAGAGTCGTAATTCTTGAGTCACATAATCGGGAGACAGGGTACAGAACCCTACTTTTTCACCTCTTATACTACCGGAAAAATTGAAGAGCACAACTTCCAAAAAGGAGTGTGTGAAAAGAAGGTATGTACTTACTAAATCCCCGAACGATAACGTTTTTTCAAACCCAGCGAATAATAGAGTTAAAAGAGATATGTTTATTTTTTTTAACATGGCTTGTGAAGACAAGCTTAAATATTTAAAAGCCTCTGACAATTCCTTATGGTAATTAGAAAAGGGGCGGAAGAACAGAAAAAGGCCCCTACACTCGTATAACCCACTCGAAGGTCACACCGTTATACCCCGTTAGGCAAGGCTAACCTATTTGCAAGATTCCTGAGCGCCCGCTGAGTCCTCTCCTTAAATGTTTATTATCCCAACTTCTCCATGATACCCACTAATTCCTATACTGGTAAAGTATGGATGCTCGATGACCGCTAGCTCCACCAAAGGCAAGAATTCTAGATGGTATAACTATTCTAATGCTTAGATATCTTCCATTAACTGCACTTATTTACCTTGTTAAAATGATGAAATGATAACCTACTAAGAAAACTTTATTAGGACGCTGGAAACTTTCCCGTGTTATCATGATTTTAAAGATGACCGCCCTTATTCACTTAGTCACAGATTCTCTTGCCTTGAAAAAGTCGCAGAAGCACCTCTCTGAGCACGTTAATAAACCACTAAATAATAATAAAACTACAATTCTTGTACTTCTAGATGTTGAGGAGTTTTAAATAACGTATAGCACAAAGGGTTGTTCTTTAAAATTGACAAACTACAATATTTCTTCGTACCTAAAATTGTCCTTTTTAGAAAATAAAATAATAGTCTAGATAGAAACCCTAACCTCCGATTAACACATCATATCTGCAGGAGCCCCACAAAGCTCCCTTTTGTTCTCCCTGCTGTTTTTCATTTTCACTTATGATATCTCACAGATAACACTGTTCCTTTGCGCAGTATGCTGATGACACTGAAACCTTTTCAAGTTGTAAATCAGTTCCGTTAGCTATTAAAGATATGTAATCACACCGATAAAATGCAAGGCCTTACTGATATTGCGTAGGGGGAGAATCGCTTAGTGAGCAACTTACTTTTTTTTGGTTGTAATCTCTTTTAGTGCTCGCAGGCAAAGTATCTTGCAATAATTATTAACCACAAGTTCAAAGCGCGAGGCTCACTGAGACTACTTAGCTAATAAATTTAGAACTACTAGTAATATTTTATATCCTCTACTATGCAAAAGAACAAATTACTCTTCTATGAGACATTTAACTAGGCTATATATCCTACAAAATAATTTTCTAATCGGCGTATCAAAGACCCGTAGTTTATAAGAAACTAATTCTGCATCAAGACTGTAAGATTGAATTGACCACAGAAGTGATTAAAAACGAAGAAAAATGCTTTGAGCAAGCCAGCACTAATTGCTATCTAAGATAGTAACCTGGTGTCCTCTGAGTATACAACAAATATAGGAGCCCCAGGCATCTGTTGGTCCTACCCAATTAGCTACTAACTAAACCCTTGTAATCATACCTCCTCCTCTACGAATCCGGTACTATTAATTATAATAATGGTATAATAACTTATTTCATAAAAATAACAGTAAATTTGGTAATAAATGATAATTTAATGCATTTAATAAATAAAATGCAACTAATAAGTACTCTATACTTGGTGACTGTGGAAGGTTAACTTTTTCTACTTATAGAGTTTACTATCGACCTTTACTTCAAAGGAGTAAAGATTAAGCAGTAAATAGGACGTATATCCTTAACTGTAGCATGCCAAATTCACAAATAAATTAAGCTGGGGTTTCTAAAGTAGTTTGCACTAGTGGGCAAAACCGCCGTTAAAAATTGACTTTTTTTTTTAAAGTTATGTTTAAGGCTGCAGTGTCTTGTCAACATGTTGAAAATATAAAAATAGGAACAAACTGAAAGGTTGCAATGCGATGATGTCAAAGGATATTAATAATAGGTTTGTAAAGCTCTTACAGGTCTGGAACCA